AGCTGCTGCACGAGGCTTAGCACGCGATTTCGGGCGGCTCGCGGGGTTTCGCTGTGTGGCGGGGGGCCCTGCAGGCTGCTGCTGCGGACTGCAGCAGCAGCCTGCAGGGCCCCCCGCCACACAGCGAAACCCCGCGAGCCTCCCGAAATCGCGTGCAAAGCCTCGTGCAGCAGCTGGAGGCCCGCAGGATCCGCTGCATGGGGGGCAGCAAACTGCGGAAGGCAGCAGGAGGCTCTGTGACAGAGAGGGGCCCCCGGCCGGGCACAGTGAACTTGAGGGGGGAAATAATTTCCAGCAGCAAGGCCTCGACGGGGGGCCCCTGGGGCCCCCTTTTGACCCACCGGCAAGAACCACCTGCGCAGCAGCCCGCTGACAGCAGCCAAGATCAGCTGCAGCCACCAGCCCCTGCTGCATGCACTCAGGAGAGGCCCCCGGCCCAGTTCTTTGAGACTTTCGGAGCTGCAGAAAGCCCCACAGGTCTTGGGGGCCCAGAGGGAAGCTGGGGAAGTGAAAGTGCGCAGCTGCAGTCGGCGCTGACTCGTGGGGCCCCCGAGAAGCTCGTGGGGTCTTACTTTCTGGGGCGCACCATAGGAGAGGGCACTTTTGGCAAAGTTCGCGTGGGAACGCATGCATTGACGGGCGAGTGTGTGGCCATTAAAGTCATGGAAAAGGACAAATTAAAGGCAGCAGAAGACGCGGAAAGAGTTCTCAGAGAAATACACATTTTGAGGGCCGTCAGACACCCCCATGTCATACACTTGCTCGAGGTGCGACACGCGCAGCAGCAGCAGCAGCAGCAGCAGCAGCTTTCCTGCTGCCGCTTCGCAGCAGCTCCTGAAATCCGCATTTTGGCGCATTTCATGCAGGTTCTTGGCTTGCGCATCTTTCGAGGTTTCCTCCTAGTGCTTCCGCGGGCTCTGCAGTTAAATGTTTTGTGTTTGACTTGTATTTGTGCGTGAGTCCGCAGATAGTGGAAACTGCTTCCCGTTTGTATTTGGTGATGGAACTCGCCAACGGCGGGGAGCTGTTTGACTTTATTGTGCAAAGACAACGCGTAGATGAAGACACAGCGCGGCGGTTTTTCAGGCAAATCCTCTCGGGAGTGGAAGCGCTGCATTCCATGTGCATCTGCCACAGGTGAAGAGCTTTTCAATCTATTTAATAAAGTCTCAAACAGTTGACTCAGTTGAGGTTCTCTGGAAGAAAAATGATCAATTATCTCTCCCCAAACGGCCAAGCTGCAGCAGCTAACGAAGAACCTGCTGCAGCGGACAAGTTTCTGCCTACCTTGGGGCCCCCAAGCATTTTTGCAATAAGGGTGGCCTCCTGGGGGACCCCCTATTTCTTTTCTGTTCATTATGTTAAATAGTGTGTGCGAGGCCACATTTGCTGCGCAGCCCTTCACTAATCTGCACATGTTGTCTGTCTTTGTGTCTTGTTTCCAGAGATCTGAAACCTGAAAACTTGCTGCTGGATTCATCCTTGAACATAAAGATAGTTGACTTTGGCCTCTCTAACATCTACAGACACAAAACAATGCTCAAAACTGCATGCGGATCCCCCTCTTACGCAGCACCAGAGATTGTACAAGGCAAGCTCTACTCGCCGCTGGCCGTCGACATATGGAGCTGCGGGTGAGCAGGACTGCAGCAGCAGCAACAGCAGCAGCAGCGGCAGCACCAAGAAGAGCAGCATCTTCGCTCTGAGTCTCAACCTATGCCCGTTTGTTGCTGGAATCTTCACTTTTCCTGCAAGAAGTTCAACTTAGCTGGCCTCGGCTGTGTTCACTTCCCCATTTGTTTTCCTTTTTGCTCAGGATTATCCTGTACGCTCTTTTGGTGGGCCGCCTCCCCTTTGAAGACAACACAACTGAGGGTCTTTACCGCCGCATCGTCAGCGGCAATTTCGGCTGCCCCAAAGACATCAGCCCGGAGGCCAGCAACCTGCTGAGAGGCATTCTCCACACCAACCCTCTCAAGAGGCTTGGGCCCCTCCAGATCAAGCAGCACCCCTGGTGAGCAGCTGCAGTAGCTGCTGCAGCAGCTGCTGCAGCAGCTGCTGCTGCGTGCCCCATTCTATGCATTAGTGCTGGGGCTCAAAGGGTCATACGCTGCAGGGCGTCTTTTACGGCTCAACACAATGGACGAAATAAAGGGCGCCTGTGTCCTTTGTTGTTTGGATTTTTGCACTGACGTGTGCACAGTTTGCATTTTTGCTGCTGGAAAATATGAATAGAGGCACTGCAGGACCCCCACATGTTGCTGTTGCTTTTCCAGTTGCAGCCTGCGTGAGAAGAATGCATAAGGAGAGCAATTTGCCGCTTTTCGAAAGAATTATAGAACTAATGAGAGCTCCTTTCTTGACTGACACTGCAGCAAAAGTGTTCACGTGCTCCCTTCTCCACTGACACTGCAGCAAAAGTGTTCACTTGCAGACACAATGTACATAGGCGTGCAGGCTGAGCGGCAGCAAAGGATTCGTGCAAATCCCCCGCGGCCTCTTCACTTCTCGTTGGCCCTTCGGGCCCCCTGTTTGCTGCGTGGCCGATTGTCGGGCCTGCGCGGAGTGGCTGCGGCCTCCCTCAGTTCAGGTGGGTGTGGCCTGCTAGGGTTTACGGCCTGAAGCCCGGGGCCTGAGGCTCTATGGCTGAGGGTTTAGGGTTTAGGGTTTAGGGTTTGGGGCACCTGCACTGTGCGCACGCAGCTGAGGCGGGATATCCTGGAGCTCATGCCTCGCTGCGGTTATTCACTGGAAGCCCTCGAGTGCCACATCCGCTGCCACCCTGTGGGGCCCCACGCCGCCACGTAGGCCTCTTCCCTTCCCTTTTTGTTTTCTGTCTTAGCGCAGATTCTTTCTTTAGCAGCTCCTCCTTGGCAGCTGCATCTCTTCTGCTGCAGCAGCGACTGTGGGTGCTGCAGCTTTCATCTACTCTGCACAAAGAAACGGCGAGAAGAGGAGGCGGCGGCTGCGAGGCAGCAGCAAAGACAGGCGCTCCCCGACAGCCAGGGCGTGCCGCAGCTTGCATCGCCTTATCCTTCTCCAGAGCGTCTATCTGCTGCTGCAGCAGTATCCGCTGCTGCGGCATCTGCTGCAGCAGCTGCCGCAGCATCTGCTGCAGCAGCAGATGGACCGGCAGCCACTGCTGCGGTGGCGCCTGCTGCTCCTCTGCCTCAGCTGGCCGCAGCCTGCCCTCCACTTGAAGCAAAAGGAATGCGGAAAGGCCCACTAAACTCGGGGGGGCTAATGGGGCCCGCGGTTGCTGCAGGGAAAAGGACCCTGAAGGGGCCTTGCAGGTCAGTCGAGTCTTTGCCTCTTTGTCTTCAGCCGGCACTGCAGCAGCAGCAGCAGCAGCAGCGGCAGGTGACGGCGAGGCAGCTGAAGGCGCTTGACCGCCGCTGCTCCCCGAAGCCGCGAGCTAAAGCCAAAAGTGGCGCAAAGCTTACAGGAAGCGGTGGGGGCAATTCAGCTTTATCATCTCCCAAGGCGGAGGCAGCCCAAGCCCACCAGCAGCAGCAACAGCAACAGCAACAGCAGCAGCAGCAACAGAAGCAGCAGCCCTCAGCAAGTGAAAGTGGACCATTTTCACCCCGCTTCGGAGGAAAGGTAGAGGCCTCGGCTATGACCCTTGCGCTGCCTTGTGACCGCAACAGCAGCAGCAGCACGGAGAGTGCAGAAGAGAACTGCTGCAGCCCCGACACCCCACACCAGTGCCACCTACAGAGTGCTTCAAGAGAGCGTTTCGAAACCCTGCAGCAGCAACAGCAGCAGCCACGCTGCGAGCAGCAGCTGCAGCTGCTCCAGTCCGCGCAGCCGCTGCAGCAGCAGCCTTCTTGCGGCGAGCCGATGCAGGCAGCGCAGCTGGTGCCGCAGCAAATCGTGCTGCGGCAAAACCAACAGCTGCGGAGCGAGCATCTGCAGCAGGACCTTGAAAAAAGGGGAGGCCAAAGAACTGAAGACAGGATCCTCAGAGGGCCCCTGACAGCAAGAGAAGTTCAGCATTCCAGCCACCGATTTGCTGCTGCTGCAGGACCCCCCAAGACTCCGCGGAGAATGCTGCAGTCTCTCTTGTCTCCCCGCTGCTCCCTCACCCCAGTTACACTGCAGCAGGGGCGCGGGGTTCGTCTGCAGCAGGAGGTGGCGGTCTTTGCTGCTGCTGCCACAGCAGCACGAGCAGCAAAAAGAGGGCTAGCCTCTGCATCCGCTGCCGCTGCTGCAGCTGCAGCAGGACAACCTGCCGCGAGCGCTTCTAAGGGCCCTGCAGCAAACGAAAATGTGCGCGGGCAGCCGGGCCCCTCAGCAGCAGCTTGCGGAACAACAGCCCCAAGCCCTCCAGCGTCTGCTGCAGTGCAGCCGCCGGAGGCCAGCGATGCTCTTTTGCTGCTGCAGTCTAAATGCGGCAAAGGCAGCATCACGCTCAATCGAACAATATCTGCTACTTGCAATTTCGCAAAGGCCTCTGGCAGCAGCAGCAGCAACAGCAGCAACGCCAGGCGAGTGCAGCGCCTTGCAGTCCAGGCTAGGAGCAAAGGGCTCGAAACGCTTACCTCTGCCACTCCCAGGGGCCCTCCGGCTCCGTGGAAAGCTGCAACAAATGCCATTGGAAACAGGAGCAGCAGCTGCATCAGGGGAAGCAGCAGCAGCAGCAGCAGCATGGCTCGGCCTGCACCCTCGACTTCTGGGGGCCTCAGTGTTCCCAATAGGCTTGTAAAGCCCTTGAGCCCCTATGGTGACGTTCGTCTGCAGCAGCAGAAAACGCCGGAACAGCTGCAGCGTCATTTGCAGTATTCTTCAAAGCTCAGCAGTGGACAGGGCCGGCGCTTAATGCAAAGTCAGCAGCAGCAGCAGCAGCAGCAGAAGCAACAGGCAGCAGTGGCCCCTGAACGAGTCCAAACAATGACTCAAAACCCCCAGCTGCTGCGGCGGCAAGCGGAACCCACTGGGGCCCCAGCTAAGCCCTCAGCTGGAAATGGCCTACAGAAGGCCCTCCCACTGACTCTGGGCGCCTGTAGGGGCTCGCTGCAAGCCGGTGGGGCTGCAGCAGCAGACACAGCAGCAGGAGCAGCAGCAGCAACAGCAAGGGGAGGGTCATACACTCACCGCAGCCTGGCGCTGCGCCGCAACCCTGTGGCGCTCCCAAAGTGTACAGTTCGGAAATCAACGGCTGAGGAACTCCCAGCCAGAGCCTGCATGACTGCTCGGATGTCCCTGGGCCGCAGTCTCACTGCAGCAGCTGCTGCAACAAAGGCAGCAGCAGCTGCTGGCCACGAGGAAAAAGGAGCGGGGGGGCCCAGGGAGCTATCCACAAGACTCCGAGCGGGAACTCTCCCCACAAGAGCTCGGCTTCCTTCTTTGAGATCTTTCGCAGCAGCCAAAGCCAAGTCCGCAGCTTTTGCGGCAGGGGCTTCTCAGGTGGCGTTCTCAGCGCAGAAGCAGCAGCAGCCTGCATGCAATGCTGCTGAGACAGAGCAGCCGAATGTACCAGCTGCAGCCTCCATTCGCACAGCCCTGCGTCTGGGTAGGCCCGGGGCCGCAACAGCAACTGCTGCTGCAGCACCAGCAGCAAATTCTTCGCGTGCTGTGCAAAAGCCCCGACGACGGTCAGAAACAACCGATAGTTTACGGAGAAGCAACATGAAAGCGACTGGGCTGGACCAGAAACCTCACCTGGGAGTCGCAGCAGCAGAGAACCGTGTACAGCTGAGGTTGGCTCTTGGAGGAGCAGCGACAGTTCCGAGCACAAAACTGCAGCGCCTCACCAGTAGCAGCGGTTACACTGCAGCAGCAGCAGCAAAACAAACTGCAACTGCTAAAGCTCTCTCCCACGCTTCATCTGCGGGCGTGCCAGGGTTCACGCTAGCTGCAAATAGGAGATCCCTAGACAAGCAGGTGGACGCTAGAGCCAGCAGCAAATCAAGCAGCAGTCACTGCAGCAACTACGGAGTCTCTAGTGCTGCTGCCGCTGAGCCAACTGTGTCATTGAATCCTGCTGGATTCCCAGAGCAGCCGCAGCAGCACGTCGAAAGGAAGGTGCAGCACAGGCGGGGGGTCCCTCTGGCCCGCAATAGAGTAGCTGGGAGAAATTCAAAGTGCTCCAGCCGGCCATTGGGGGCCCTTGCTTCTCGGGCGGCTGTGGCAGTGGCCAGCTCTGCGCCCAACACCCGCAACCGCAGCTTCTCGCAAGGGACTTAGCTGATTTGCGGCCGAAAGCCGGGCCAATGCATGCGCTAAGTGTTTAATCTCAGTCTCACGCGTGCGTCAGTGCATACAAGGCCACACATGTGAGCCGTGATAGAAACGATTTGAAGTAGAAACACCGCTCTCTGTAGGGAAAGCCAGTGGCCAGCAGGCATGGCGCCTTTAAGGGTGTGGCTACGCCCAAAATAGTTGAAAAGCTTTCGCTAGATTAAAAGGTTGATCGCTGTTTCAAATCAGAGCAGATGCAATGCCAGCTGCAAACACGGAGCAGCCACCAGCATAGTTGTGTTTCACTCCCCTGATGGGCCTTTGCAGCCAAGACTAGAGTGTCAACTAAGAAATTATGAGCTGGTCAAACTAAAGCAATTTTGTGTGATTGCTGGCTACGTACCATTTCCCAAAGCAACGGAAAATAGGTAACAAGTCCGTTCCCGAAATGAGTTTCACTTTTCAGAGCAGCGGGTAACAGGTGGCGGTTCCGCTTTTTTTTTGTTCGGACAAACGAGCTCCACCTAAGCATATGAATCTTTAGCACAACTGTTTAAAATTAAGCTTTTAACAGCAATAGATAAGCAGGTGCGCTTGGGCCAAATGCCAGAGCAGAGCTACTGATGGCAGCTCTGCTTTACCTGAGAGCCTCCATAAACTAATTGTAAGCCTGTACGTCAGTGTGCCCTATACATATGTGCTATGCGCTGTGCTGCCTCTTCTATGAGGGAAAACTGTTAGCAGTCTGAATGGAGCGCATGTCATGGATTCCTACGAAGAAGAATTAAGAAAGGGTGTTTATTGCGTGTCGTTCCAAATTGTAGCAGCAATCTGCTGTGGACAGACCCCAGCATCTTCGCAATAAAATTTTTTTTAAACGCTTTGGCGAGCAACTGACAGACGCGTATATTCACGCGACTTCTTATGTCATCCAGTTGCGTTTGGAGGGCGAAGGTAATTTCTCAACCCGTCTTCTGCGTCCCTATTAAAATATATTTATCATTACTTCACACTTGCGTATACTACTCAATTGCAACGCAGTTGCTGTGACGCAGCTGCTTCTGCTGGTCTTGATAGAGCGGATTAGCTGTGACAAACAGCTTTGCCCCTTCTGCTGTCGCCTTGATGCAGCGGCGACCGCGATTCAGGTGTATGTTGCCAGTGCCCAACACATGACGATGATGAATACTGATGGCTGTTTCAAAGTTGAATGCAACTTGAGCCGACTTATTGAATTTGTGACTGACACCACTTGCTCATGGCCGTGCCTCCCTTGATCTCGACAAGGCTGGCGGGCTGCTTACGGATCTGGCTCCAACTGGCACGGGGGTGTAGCGCAGCAATTGGCATGCAAGTATTGTTGCTTGATCTAAGTCATCGCTGAAGTCGGATAGCCTTGAAGGGCTGCCGTCGTAAACAGAATATGTGAAAGATGGGTCACCGTGGCAAACGGCCTCTGTGCTGTTCCTACCTGAAGGACCATAACGGCTGCGAAGTGAACGCCCACGACGACTGTCTTCCGTTCCGCATGAAGCCTCCCTGCTGTCGAAGCTGCGGAACGTTTCATAGCTTTCATTTATTGTTCCTGTGTTTTCCATCTGAGTAATCCACAGCTGCAACTGGCTGCCGGCTGCAGGCGCAGGCACCTCCACCTCCCCTTCTGGCAACAGAAACTGTTGAAGCTGACTCGAGTGGGTATCTACAGCGGCTTGAAGAGGATCAAAAGTAGCAGCAGATTCTTCGATGCGTATACGGGGAGTCCGTTGTTCTGACGGAGAGGCGGGGGAAACTGGAGTAGGAAGGGGTGGTGGCGGCATGGCTGCAGATTCACCCCAAAGAGGGGCAAAAGTGTTCAAGCTAAAGGGGAATACAGAAGCTCCGTATTCAACTAGCTCAAGCCTTCTGTGTTCTGTGAAGATAATGCGCAGCTGCTTTCTCTGCTCTTTTTCCTTTGCTGCAACCGCATCACAAATTAGGCCCTTGCGCGCTTTGCCTTCTGCTGCTTCAGCGCTTTCTTCGTTTTCATCTTGCCCATTCTGCTCAGGCTCAGCAGCCTCTCTTTCAACAAACTGAACCAGCTCATCATCCAGCTGTTCGTATTCTTTGGTTAGCTCGAGTGTACGCGCGTGCACTTCTGCGGCAATTCTGATCACAGTGTTTAAAGAATTCTGTGCTTCCCGCAGATCTTCTTCCATTTCGTCAACCAGAGCCTGCATTATAGGCATTGTCTGTGTGTAATTTCGAGGCTGTGCAGCGAGGCGGCTTCTCAGATAGGCCACGTAACCTTCGTAATCATCTTTCTCTTCGACAAATATGCATCGGAACATTTCCATGCGTTCAGTGTCAATGCAAGAGCAGATGCGCAGTCGACTCAGCAGTTCAGAGGCGTTCAAGCTGCTGAATATGGTTGGCTCCCACTGAGAGGCGTTGGAGAGCACCTTCTTTCCCGTGGGATAGTACGTGATGCCCATGGCTACCGAGGCAGCACGAGCGGCCTCCAACTCCTCTTCATCACCACCCACTACTGTGTTCGCCTCAGACTGAACGCGTGATGGTACACGTGTTGTCATTGTGTCCAGCTCATCACTGGATCTGGTTGAGACATCACTGATGCTTAGAGCCGCCATCTCGGTAACTTCTAGAGAGCCTAGCGGCAAATTCCCTTTTCAGATACTGATGAAGGCAAAAAATGTTAATGGTCCCCTGTTAATAGGATGTGCAAGGGAAGCTGGACAAGGGGTGGCGCTGAAAGCGGTTATCACGCAGCGGATCTGCTGTCGGTTGCAGTGGACACTCGACACTCTTCTGGAGTGCTCGTGCCAAGCTGGGATTCGTGGCCTTGCACCTTGAAGGAGATACAGCGATTCAAAATTGTCAACTTAGTATGTTGACGAGCCTGAAAGAGCTGGAGGGTCTTCAATATGCCTTGCTCAGGCCGACGGTGCTTGAAGGTGACAGCTTGCTGATGCTCGATGTCTCTCGTTGTTCGTGTTCTTTTAAAGAAAGTTCGTAAGTAAAAACAAACAATTACGTCTTATCACATACAAGTGCTCAAATAAATGTGCTTATAGAAGAGAATGACTGTTTCAATGTGCGTCGTGTGGTTGCAGCGGTTGTGCTGCCATTGTGTACCCGCGAGCGGCGTGGAGTCCTGGTGGGTGACCGCTTGTGTTGCTTGGCACAACATGACCGCAAGAACGGAAACAGCCAGACCCTGTCCCCAAACCTTTAGCTCTGAAAAGAGGAACGGTTTCGAAATATTTTTTACCTGCATAAATTAATGCATGGTTTAGTTAGCGGGCTCTACTGGAGTGACCGGCGCGCGACCATGCAAAGATGGCCTAGTTCCCGTTCAGTTGGCGTACTCAAATGAAACCTGCGCCCGGGAGAATTATATCAAAAGCGTTAGAGACAGTGAGAGATAGTGGAAATAGGCCATGAAAGCATTTTCCATAGATCAATTAAGTGCTTTAAATAGGTGCACGAAGGTTATCTCGTCCACAGGTTCCTGTCTGGCGGGCTAATTGAAGCCAGCGCCGACGACAAAGCCAGCGACTGTGCATAAGTGGAAGTCTCTCCAAACGACCTCCTCTTTGCCGTTCAAGTCCCTTAAACTTCTTGAGAGAATAGAACGAAGGGAAAATATTATATCCTGACTGGGCAATAATGCCCAGACGATCATTGGTTGAGGCTCCATATGACAAACGATGCTCGACTCTGGTAGCTACAGTGCTTGACAGTAAGCATCGGCGTTCCCATTGAGTCTTATAATTCGGCAGTTGTAATATGTCTGGCGAATGCTGCTGGCTCCTCAGGATCTGAGTAGCCCTGACTTGTTTCGGAACTTCTTTCAGGGTCGACTTGAGGTAGACGAGCTCTAGTTGCAAATTCAGTGATATCCCACACAATATATCTGCAATTTTTGTAATTTTTAAAGAATAGAGTAGTTTTGGAGTTGGGATATTAGCAGTGTGAACAGCTCAATAGCGTACACAAAACAATCAGGTATCTATTCCAACCACGTACACTCGCTTTATCCCTTTTTCGGGGTAGTGCTCCGTTATTTCCCCGCATCTCCATTAAACTTTACGCTGTGCCTTGAATGTTCTCACTGTTGTTCCTCTATTCTGTGAAGTTTACTATGTAGCCGCTGCATCGAATGTTGATGGCAGCATCCAAATATCCACTACTTCCATACAAGAATGACAGGCCCAGTGAATTGGTCCTTCTACCGGCGACAAAGAATTGTTTCAAGCAGAATTATTCTTCTATCCACCCCAGATGCACTAGACCCGCGCAAGATTCCGTATGATCCCATGGGCTGTGAACTGAGGATCACATGCAGCTATTTGTAATCCCAATATCAAATCAACAGCGAGAGTGCACCACTTATGATGTTCCGGCCTCAGTCTCAGAAACTTAAAAATTTAAAGCTTTCCATCTTGGGACGCAGAGTTTGAGGGGCTGACTGCACAGTTAGCACGCCAACGTCCCATGTCGTACAGGCACAAAGCATTTCGCGAATGATCACTGGCCATCCCAAAAGGAGAAAGTGTGCGCCTCTAGTAGGCAGTAAAAGGAGTCTTTGGCTTAAGAGATCTGATGGAGAGAATGGCCTAGAGACATCGCTCGAAGTTTGCAGTTTTGGTAGTGGAGTTGTATGAAGTTAGAGAGTAATTGGTAAGAAGCTGTGGGCAAGCCAAAACGACTGCCAGAGCCACTGGACATCGAGAGCTTTTATGCCAGTACAAATAATTTGAAGTGAAGAGCTCTGTTGTTGCACTTATGCCAAACCAAGGCAGAATTTTCAGCCTGGGCAGAATTAAAACGAAGAGGCCTTTGGCATAATTCGAAGGAGTTAAGCATCGGCTACTGCCTTGAATATCCTCGAGGCGGCAGCTGCTGCCTGAGATCCTTTGGGGCCGCAGCAGCTAAAAAAGTATCCCTTTTAAGAGTCTCAAGACACAGCTTGTGAAGAATGCCAAAAACAGCAGGAGTAATTTTCAACTTTGAAGAAAGCCCTGCACCTGGCATTGCAAGAAAGGAATAGCTGCAGCGTGTCGGGTGTTAGTTTGCAATATGTGAAGTCTCGGGAGCAAGTCAGTGGCATCAGCAGCGGCCGCGCGTCCTTTGTGCAGTGAGAAGCCTTTCTTCGCTGGCTGATGCAGCAAGTTGAAATGCTGTTTCTTTTCTGCCGCTGCTTCACTCCTGTCACGGTGACTGGGGGATCTCAACAGCTGTTCCTCTACAGCAACGGAATCACCCGGAAAGATCTTTTGCTTATCACGAGTCTTGGGCAGCAGCGCTTCTACGGGCCTCAGAGGCGGCTGTATTGGCCCGAAAGTCCGGCCTGCATGCAGCCTCTTATGATCTTCATCAACAGCTGGATCCAGGGCAGGGTTTAGGGCTTCAATGGCTGCTGTTGGCCACACACCAGAGAAGGTGGCTGCCGCCATGCCCATGCTTGTGTTTGCTGCATCTGAAATGTTTCATGTCGTGGGCGTCGCTCGTGCATAAGTTATTCAACACAAGTGTACCTGTAGCCCCTGGCTCGGCGAAGACATTCTTGGGCGCGTCTTGTCTAAACCTGCTCAAGAAAAACAGGTCGGGCCCATCGAGCAAGTCCGATTTCATTTTTGCGTCATATGAGCGCTTTGACGCTCCGACAAGGACGCTTTTCAGTTAATCGCGTATAGTGGCTAACTGAAACAGCTCAAATAGAGGCTGGAAATAATGCGTCAGATCGTTGTCGTCCACACGTTCTTGCAACAAGCTGCCGCGTCTTGATGTACTTGTTCAAGTGAGATCTCGTCTGGTGTATGCTGAGAAGAGACGAAACTGTGGGTCGGAAGGGGGCTGACGCAGGACAAGCCAAGGCCACTTTAGAAGAAGAGAAGGGTCTGGCATTAGAAAGCTGACCCTCGGCAGCAAATGGACTCTTCTGGGTGGCAGAGTTGCTCTGCTGCCCGCGAGCATGTCTGAAAAGACTGAGGAAGGTAGAAGCAGCTGCTACGTAAGCGGACGGGAAAACTCAGAAGAAATTCAGAAAAAGTATGTTCGTAGGCAGTTTCGCGGCTACGGCTATTGAAATTCGCTCTCCAGCTTTTCTGGGATTCACGCCGTGGTGCGGGTCTGTCGAAGCCGTACAGACACGAGCAATCCTTTGATAGAAAACTAATCGTAGCGATAAATATCGTAAAGCAGAAGGGAATAGTTGCTTTGCAGACCCAAACAAACGGATTTTTCTTCTGTCATGATGTTTGTCGCGCGGCATTTTTCCATTTTCGTTAGATATTGCACCTATCGGTTGTCTAGGCGAACATGTGGTGAACATTGAAGGGAAGCAAACCAACTGCAATCCTACGAGATTTTCAACTTGCAAGGGCTTGAGCCCCTGTCAATTTGTATATTTGGTGCCGGCCTCGAGTCTGTCAGGGGTTGATTCAGCCTCAAGAGCTGTCCCACTTGCTGTGAAACTTGAATTACCCCATCTTCTTGCATTTGTCACATTCAGAAGCTGCTGTGTTCACCCACAGCCCGCAACTCTTCACAGAATGTGACCCTTGTTGGTCCTTGTATTTGGAATTTCCACTCACGGCACTGCTTTGAACACATCCAGTTTGTATTATCAGTAATTCAGAGTTCTTGCATCCAACAGAAGTCTGAAACCTTAATTCGTAAGTTCCGCGGACAAAACTAGGCTTCTGCATGTCCTATTGGAGGTAGAACCGTTGTATGGGCCTTTGTTCATGTTTTGACATTAGAGCACTCGCCGCATATGCTGCTCAAAGGTTTTGACGCATCCTGCAGCACTGAAGAACAGATGCTAAGCATGCCAGTTTGCTAGTTTTGTTGACACTTTTGGGAGTTATCCTAAGTTATTTTGGGAGGCTGGTCTTGCCGCGATGCCTCCAGAGAGTGGAAACCTGCAAAAGTGGTTCGGCATCTTTCAAAGCTAGATGCTCCATTATGTAGGACCAAGAAACCCTATATAAATCTCTTCCCTTTAGGAGCTGCTCGACTGCTCCAAACCCTAACGCCAAATGCATAGCAATAGACAAAAGAGGCCACTGTTGAAAAGGGTATCCTTATGTTCCAGCCTGTCAGTTCCCACATTCATCGAATACTGCGCCAACAGTTTGGCCAGCACCTACAAATCTAATCATCACTAAATTGCTAAGAAGATACTTGCTGGCCTGTTTCAGTTTGACACGGAATGCAACGGAGTCCATTTAACAAACTCAGGCTCTGTACTTTGAACCCGAAGAGCCATTTATGAAATTCTGTTGATGCAATGAAACAGTCTAGGGCCTAGACTGTTTGCCAGACCGCTAGCAGCAAAAAGCTAGGTGGCCCTTGACCAAGTTGCTTTTGTTGACTCTGTACTTAGGGCGTAGTTGGGCTGCGCTGCGGGTGCAGCAACTGCTTTGCAATATTGTGAATCTTGTCGTGTAATGCCTGTCTTTGCTGCAGCCGCAAAAGAGATGCTTGTAGCCGTTCTGCAACATCTCCTCGAAGCGTAGGCTTCTGACCGCCGCCTTGGGCACGCAAAGGCAAGGCGCATCCAGAAGATGAATTCTCTTTAGTTCGCAGCAGCTCGTGCTGCTGGAGTTTTGGCTCTGGCAAG